CTTTATATACATGAAGGGGCAGAGCAGTCATGTACTCGCTTGTAGAAAGTAGCAGGGTGTTGAAACAACGAAAAAGCAAAGTGAATATAGAGAATGATGCATAAAGAAATATGGCCTGATAGTCCAACACCTATATAATAGGTGCAAGTGCTTTATCACGCCCATACGGAACGTAAGCAGCAGATTGACTTTCTTGTACCCTACGCTCGCATGCAGCTAAGATCCTTTGTCGCCAAGCCGGGGACAGTCAATTGTCGTAGGTCCTCCAAAGGCAAGGGAGAAGCAGCACATCTTGGACGCAGTACTCCAAAATCGTAGGTGAGAATGGTCTGGCGTTGAACACCTAATAGGAGCCGCCATGTGCCGGTAAAAATAACCGTGTACCAGTGTCTTTAGTTGCCTTCCAGCCAGCTTTTTCAGCACTCGAAAGTCCTGCGTCATACTCAATACACTTCGCCAGGCCATTGACACATTTTCTGCTCAATCCCTTCCTACGAGTGGCGACCTCCATCAGTTGTATATCATGCATTCTTTTGAGCTGGATCCCATAGTGGTGATAAAGAGCATCTGAATCGTTTCGGACATCAAACACGGCTTTTGCTATGGTATCGGATTCCAAAACTTGACGAAGAGATAGTGCGTTTTTACCAACCGTGGTAAAAGCTTGTGGCCCAAGTCGGTAGATATCGATCAGATAGACGTGCTCTTCACCGAGGAGTAGTACTTGGAGTATCGAGATCGATCCGTGTCGGCTCAAGTTAACCCCTTCGAGGTCAATGTAGAGAGAAGGCGCGCATGGCGATGGAATCATGAGTATGCGGTCGAGGAATGATTTCAATAACTCAGTGGTATCAACCACTGTGAATCGAAGAGTTTTATTCTTAGGTTTTTCTTCAACAACATCTGTTTGCTGTCTTTCTCAATGTGGTTGAATGGAACCAAAGTTTTTGATCCTTGAAGGGTCTGGAGTTGCGGTGGCGCTCTTAGTTACAGATGTCAAACCCGGAAGGGAACTAGCGGTATTTGATGACATATTCGCAATGGCCTAGGTCGCTAATAGTAGGGTTCTATAGTAGTGGAGGAGTTTAAACCGGTGAATTCTGTTGAGGGAAGGGAAGTATGAGAATAGAAGGAAAGCTGGAAATCTTTAGCAAAGATGAGGTATTTACCCATGGCTGTTTAAAGCTTCTCTTATACCTAAGATTAGGAAAGAATTCTCTGAAGTGGCGCAAGCGAATTCCTCATGTACATTTTTATTGACGTGTAACTGTGGTACAGGCAATTTACTCATCCCCGATATTTGCCTACCATACAATCGGGCCATTCTTCTAATGCCGCCTTTAATTATACCCCTTACGTACGAATACTGGGCTGACCATTCCTTTTTACTTGCATCTCTATTTCATTTCTATTAAACCCGCGAGAGTAATAACGAACAGCGGTTTCCCTTTCAGAGTAACGCTAGCTACTATAGTTTATATTGCTATCTAGGAGAGTACGTATACTCTTAGGCCGTATTTATCCGCAACACAGTTAGTGGAAGAATGTAATGTAAGGGGGATTCTCGCACGGTCCGCGCCTGACGCGTTAAAATCACGACGCGCGCGCGCGACTCTCCTTCTTCAAAACTCCCTCATACCACCGCAACGCACGCCTTTGAAAGAACTTTTCGGTGATCATGCTCGCAATCAACCTTATTCTCCTCATCAGTGTGAGATTCTGCTTACCTGCAGCGCGTTAGGCAAGAAACCAGCGCGGATTTAGAGGGAGCTTCACGTACCAAAATCGACGCTCAGATCCACCCAACTCCTTGCGCCTCTCCGCAACGAAGGACGCGACCAAATTCGTCCATGACGGCCTAAGATTTTCTCAGATACCGATAAAAGACATATCCTACCTGTCGTACGCAATCACCCAAAGCTTATCTACCAAGAGGTCCGAGAGAAGACTGGAGTCGTCTGCCACAACCGTACAATTGCTCAACTTCTCGACACATAACATTCGCAAATGGCGCGCTGCCGGCCGGCCTGCGCTTACAGAAGCTAATTCAGCTATTCGACTTGCTTGGGCAATAGAGCATTTAGACCGGATACCGGCACAATAGGCGCAAATTATATGGTCAGATGAATGCTATGTAGAGCGCTGCACAAGCCTCGTAACCGCCCGCCCGCCCCCGCCCGGGCGGGTAGCGGGCGGGCGGCGGGCGAGTAGGTGGATCTACTACGAGTACCTCATTCCTTATACTCTCCCAAATTGAAACACCAGTAAATTTTACTAGCGTATCTACTTTAAATAGTCTATAGCCTGCATATCGCTCAGGGCGATGGGTCAGGGTAAATAAATTCAACTCAAATCAACTCAATCAATCATATAGGTTAGCACTTGAGACGTAGGCACGGGGTTGCGTGTTGTTCTTTTTGTGTGGTATGATCGCGTTTCCTTCTTGCGACCGAGGGGACCTCGCCCGGTCGGGCGTTTCATCACGTCGCTCATCCCACCCGCCCTTTGCGCCATCAACACCCACGAAATGTGTGCGCGCGCAAAATCGCGGATTACCGAAAATACTGATAATAAACCCGAAAAATAGTTCCTGTTGACTTCTCGTTCCCAAGTCGCGCCACACCCCGCGCATGATCTGCTGCATCTGGTCTTTCGATCGGTTCACCGCTCGATCTCACATACCTCATAAAATCCCGACAGTCATTGCAGCTGCGATGCAATTCACATTCCGCTGCGGGCAGAGGCGGAACGTGGACGGGCCAAAAGTTTCCGGGGGACAGCGACTCACCGCTCCATTAAGTCACATCTCATCCCACATTCACAATCAAAGTGCCGCACGACCGGGGGAAAGACTGGGGAGGCGGGAGGATTCAGTTGTTCAGGGGCGACTGCGGAGGCTGGGGCCGCGCAATTCTGGCGCTCCAAGCCAATCAACTTCCGAAGCGAGTGACGGCGCACCGCACAACAAAATCGCGCTGGACGGAACGAGTGCCGCTATCTCCGCTCCGCTAACTTTTTAACCACATCGCTCTCGCCTCTGTGCCGCTTGATATCAAGCACAAGGATGATCTCGCTCTTTGAATCTTTCTCAAACACACGTCTATCGAGTCTTTCACGTTGAGCTTGATCCATTTTTGACTCGAGTAAGTCGCTCAACACCCCATCATCCATCACGAAGAGCGCTAACCAACCTTCGCCTCCGCTCAGCACCCTGTCGTCGATCCCACTACCTACGAGCGCCATACCATTGGTCAGTACGTCGCCTCTTTTCTTTCTCCACCCATTAACACGTACACGAGGACTCTGGGCAACTTGGCTTCAATCGCATTTGCGACCGGGCTGAACCGTGACATCGCCATGCCAGCATCCAGGCCGCTACCAACCGTCCTGTGAATGCTGAGTGCACCAGCCGGAACGGGTCGACGGTGGGTGGCAGGCCCTGTGGTGCCACATGTTTCTGCCGCGCGTCCTTGCACCGCCGGAAGCATAGGCTGGCGAGCGTATCGGCATGCGGTTTCCAGCTGTTGTGACTTTGTGCATGAGCAGACCATCTTCTTCCTGACTGCATGTCCAAGGAGACCTGTATACGCAGTGCGTCGCATGATGGAGACTCGCAGCGTTTGTTGATCGGGAATGGGCCTTTGTCTATCTCCTGATTCTCCCGCAGTGAATTACTCGCTCTTGCAAACAGGCTACTCACCCTTGGCTGCACACTCGGAAGGGTCTGTAGAGACGCCCAGTGAGCTACGTCCGCGCGGTGGCATCCTCTACGTCGTTGTTCTGGTTGTGGGCACTCCCCAAGTGTCCCACAATGACGATGACCGAGGACGGCCTTGTCGTTCGGGCAGGTCATGCTTTTCCTGGTTGCAAAACTGGGGAGGGCTTGGCCTGTAGAGGCGCTGCGGTGGACTGCGTTCCGTGCATGGGGAACCTCCGGCTGCTGCTTGTGTGTCGAGCGCGTGTCCGGTGTTGGAGTCAAGGCTGCTCCATCCAAAGCCTGGGCGGGTGGGAATCTGCATTTTGCAGGGACACAATGTAAACTGATACTTTGTAGCTAGCAATTCATCCTTTATCCCTCATGTCTTCGTTCCAATCATTTTCGTGCAACGGCCTATCCGTAATCGAATGGTCCGACGGCCAACGGGCTATTGGCTTCACCTACGGTCCAAAGCCTCACTGCAAGGTATACTTGGAAATTGAAGTGGAGTCTTCCAACTCTACCGCTTTGTTCCAAATTCGAACGCACTTGAGTCTCAAGCCACGCAAATACAAAACGCCGTTGAACCTCGTAATCCTGCCCGAGCTCGTGAAAAGCATAAAGTACACTCCAACAATGGAAATTAGCCAAGAGGTTCTCGACAAGTTGAAAGTCAGACACGGACGAGATATGTCTTCGGATGTCATCGGCCTACATTTCTCCCTCGCTCAACCACCCATCATGTTGGCTCCGAAAAGTACAACATTTGAAGCCAAAACAACAAACTACGAGGATGTTCTCGCCGAATTACAATCTCTAGCCCAGGCAAGATCTTTCACAGCCTACATTTCCGGCACCGATTTGCCATTAGATCGCGCATATGACGTTAGCTGGATGATCGAAGAAGAGGCCGTCAAGTCACCGAAGGGCGCCCTGAGAATCGACGACATGTACAAAGGCGTGAGCAGTGAGGTCGTGACATGGGAGCAGCTGTGTTCTCGGCCGCCGATGTACGGCGCAGTTGGACCTGACATTCCTCCATCTGCAGATGCTGACGCCTCGCGAACTGTGGCCGAGTCATCGAAGAAGCGTCGCCTGGATGAGTCTGCAGCGAAGCCTTTCGATATGGAGGAGCTCGCCAACAAAGTCCAGGACTTGCAGCTGTCGCACGACAACTTCCGTCAAGAGCACGACGACACGGTGAAAACAGTTCGAGAGGAGCGTGACCGCATTGACAAGAAAGTAAATGAGCTCCGAGACACCCATGACGAACAGATTTATGAGCTGGAATTGGACTTCGACCAGCTGCGGACGGAGACGGACAGGAAGCTCGAGGGAGACTACCATTGGATACATGGCGAGATGAAAGGTTTGGCCGATCAGGCAGCGAGGTTACAGATCGTCGTGGATGGCTTACAAAGGACAGTGGATGCAGTTCACGGGGCGTTAAACTCCGAAAGGGCGGAGTAGGTAGCGTGGTATTCCCACATTCACGACGGTCTAATGAAGCATTTCATTACTCGACCACTTGTTCAATGCCCCGTAAACAGTGCTTGCGCAACAGCTCCCAGACGCAAGGGCAGTTGCAGCGCTTCTGGTCAGGGACACGCGGGCAAGATTGCGGTAGATGTTCGCGATGTTGCTGACGCGGGTCTTGTAACGGCGGTTGGATCAACAGCAGGACGTTGAAGGGCTCCTTGTGATGCTAAGACGTGAGTGGGGGAGGCGACGGGAAGCGCGACCGGGAGGAGCCTCTATCGCTATCGGAGCTGCTGCATGCGACGGAGGAAGTAGTGTGTTATTGAAGGACAGGACTGGAAGTATCGCGGCGCCTGCCTTCCCCGTGTCGTTCGATTTCTGCCCACTCTGCCCACCAAGCATTTTTATCGGCCGCCAGGGTGCCATGTCACCAAGGGAGCGCTCCTTAAACACATTTCTGGATCTCAAACCCAGAGAGTGCTATTATCACATGGCTTAGCCAGGCCACTCTTGCAACTTCAAGTCTTTTCGTTTTCTCATATCTTCCTCTCCAACCCAAACAAAGTTCTTTTGTCTCCCCATTGTCAACCGGACAAAGACGAAAGCAGTCACTGACGACATCCGCTTCCTTCACCTATCTTCCAGCACCCCAAAGACGACCACGCTTTCTTCGATCCCCACATCTTCGGCCGCGCTCGCATCACTGAAGTCGACCTAGCAAAAGCGCAAGTAAGCACCGACGTAGATATCCTTTTACAAAGAAACCGGCCAGCACACTGTATCCCATGGTAAATTAGGCTAAAGCCTAGGTAATAGCTCACTTGTTCTACTTAGCATCAAAGCTTTCAGCATCAAAAATCCAAACGCTGTGCTTTCCTCACCAATTACAAAGGCCAAAGCTTAAGCAACAACCAATATCCTCGAGTTCCTCTTTTCACTTACCAGCACATCGGACTAGAAAAGCGAGGTCCATCAATCACCACGGCCCCTAATTACCCCTCCCCAGTTTCCTATGCCTCAATACCAAAGGCCGCGTCCTTATACCAAGGTGTTAGGAGGTCGAATTACGCATACTTAACTATTTCACCATGGTTCTAACTTCACAGCTGGCTGCTACCTAGCGCTACCTAAACCTCAACCACATAACCTTTTCAGTGTTACCACGGAAGGATCATCAGTAATATCTATATAAATAAAGTAGATAGCACTCATTTCTAAATCAGATCACTTTATTCAAACTTATATCAACACAAGATAAACGAGCCAAAGCTAGAGTAAGCCCCGGCATGGTAACAGTACCCAGTTCACTTCCATCTCCCAGCACCTTAAGATAAGATGGCGCTCCCCCCACCAACAGTTACCCCGGTTTAAATCTCGCAACCCGAAAAACTGCGCTCTCAAAAGAAGGGCCTAAGACTACGTGGCATCAACAGTTCAAACCCTCGGCTCTCTACACCTCTATTCAAAAATAAGGCTAGTACCATACTCCGTCATTGTTAAGTGATCTTTCGAAAACCAAACTAACCTAACCTATATTTATTTGGAAAGTACCTTACGGTTCAGTAGCAAGGATACTTAACAGTTAATAGCTAGATAACGTTAGATGATGCTGAACAGCAGCTAGGCAGCAGGTCTCAAACTTTTAGAATAGAACTATTACGCATAACTCGATCACCTAACAGAGCCCCTTTAGAATGCAAATCAAAACGAAACGCTATTTTATTTTCTTTAATTTACCTGTGACGCCGGCGCGAGGAACTGGACGCCGCTTGTCCTTCTAGATTACTGCTACCTATGGAGGCATATATGCTGCTATCCAAAAGAACACGTTTTCTCTTTGAGATCCTTATTTCCTTGCAGTAGATAAACGTGTGGTGTAAGGGAGTAAGGTTGTTGTGTAACAACCAGGGTTCGAAGGCGTCCAGTCATTTTTCAGTCGGTCTGATCGGTCGGCATGGACCCTTCGGACCGCAGACCGCCGTCTCACGCCAAGAACGGTCTCGTCCCGACGGAGACTGGCTCAGGAGGACGCCGGCAGACGGTCGTTGTAGAATTAATGTAGAGTTTTACTAGTGTACTAAATATATGGTGGTGTTAAGGGGCTAACGGCACCCCCGCGTTATCTAATTAGGTATACTTTTAGGGTTTATATCACGTGCATAGCAGCTATCTACTCTCATTCGCGCGGAGGATCACTGGTTAGACTCCAACACTATGCCAAGCTTCCCCAAACGGTCGGACCGAGCCGGACGACTTACTTCACGGTCTAAAAGGTCCAGTGGACGGTAGGGACGCCTGACCCTTTAGACCGTGGACCGGATAGACCGGACCGGACGACTTCGAACCCTGGTTCCGGATCAACAATGCTGTGTTTACCACTGATGACTTTACGGGTCGGATCGGCGGCGCGGCTGCTTTCGACCGCGCCATAATCAAGAGCATTGCGCGAATATTTGGAGACTGTTTGGCGTCTAGACAGACCCATACGGAACCCACTCGCAAGGTACCCTTGTCGCAGAATTGTGACGAAGTAACGATCGACCCGAAGCCAGAGGTGCTTCCTACGGAGGTAGCCCCTAAGTGCGAGGAACAGTACAAGAGTTCAAACCTTGAAACTGTCACGGCAGTGAGGCGGATTCAAATCAGATTGTGTAGGATTGACTACAATTATTATTA